GACTTCTCGTTATTAATTGTCTCCCAACTGAGTCAAATGGTGCGCTCCATACTGAACCGGAACCATGTCAGGGCGCGCGATCTAGGATATTATAGTACATATACGTCTATGTGTCGCTGCGTGTCAAATCGACATTCTGGCGTCTGAGGTGTAGTGGTGAGGTTCTTCATCATCGCATGCAACAGCAGACAAAGGTTCGATTCCCAAGTAGAGAAGTCTTATTTTATTGAGTGTCTTTCTCTCCTAAGATAAGGCCTGCTGTATGTAATTCAACCGGCTTTTAACCCTGGCGAGCAGGATCAACGTCGCTAGACTCCAAAAATATGATCTAAATTTTGTTAATGGGGGAGCAAAACATTCGCGTAAGTTCATATTATAGACTTGAATTAGAATGTCCTATACCGAGCATTGTCGTAGCTTACAGGTACCAACATAATCGTATTTCCCCATCTTTGCTCTCTACAAAATAAATAAATAAATAAAATTGCTGAGCTGGTGTGCATCTTGGTAGGTCAAATGAAGGAAAAAACGTCACTGTTGAGACCGCTTGAAACTAGGGCTGGGCAATGAGTCTCTTTAGCAAAATCCGGATAGTGTTTGTGCACCTCTTCTGCGATTAAATGTGTACCGCTTCGACAAATGGGTTGGAAGAACCTCTTCAAAAAATGGGTGCAACCACTTCGGCAAATGGGTCAGGAAAGAGAATCTAAGAGTCTAAATTCGGATAATGTTTCACTGAGAATTATTCGAATATCCGGATTTTGCCCACCACTACTCGAAACCCTTCCCTCCCTGCCCTTCATTTGGTGAGTCTAATGGTATGCTTCATGGAGAACTAGAATCAAGCACAAGTCCACAGTCTTGGATATCCCAATACAAGTCAATGTTTTTTTTATGACTGGTGTGTAATGCAAATCAATTGCTTGGCGCTCATATGACCTTATGCAGTTGTGAGCGCCGTAAAAACCTTATTAAAACAAAAACAAAAATCAATTGCATATCCCCTCGACATTTCGTGGTACAGAGTGTAGAAAAGGTAAAGGTAAGTAAGTAGTGCCAACCGAGATAACGTGAAATCGACATGAAACTCACCGTTTACGTTACCATTTGTCCCATCCATGACAAAACCTGGATTGTCGTACAGCTGCTGTTGCTGCTGTTGCTGTTGCTGCTGTTGCTGTTGTCTTGGAGAGGGGGCAGAGCCGGTGTCAGGGCTGTTGCGGCTGTTGTTGTCGTCATGGACAGTGATCAGCTTCAGAGACACAGGCGGACTGGAGCCCCCAGTCCCCGCGACTTCACCTTTGCCTTTCCTGAAACGACACATAGCAGGTGTTCACTTAGAGAAGAGTTTACAAAGAGTCAGTCCGACAATGGACATACTGACTTGGTCTGTATGCTAAGAGAAGCTCATCGGTACAATAACAGTTATTCAGAGGTGGGGAAAAAATATAGACAGATAGAAAGAACAGAGGGGGAAAAAAGAAGTAGACCTAGAAGTAGTTAGCACTCTCCAACCATCGCTTTACACAGATCGATGGAGAGAGAGAGAGAGATGGATAGAGAGAGAGAGGGAGAGAGAGAG